CCCCAAAACCCCAAAACCCCAAAACCCCGTGGTTGATGATATTTTTGAAATATAGTGTTATAAATTTATTACAAATTGATTAAAAATGTCATCTGAGATAAACTTCGAAAAAGTATTGGATACGAAGTGGAGTGACAAAGCTCCAGCTCATCAAGAAGATTCTGAATCTGTCATTGACAATCCGACTATATTGAAGTCCATTGTGGTCACTTCCATTCCTTCGATTGCTGGCCTTTTATTCGAATTCTTGGTTCAAGTTGTCAACTTGATATTCGTGGGCAATTTAAACAACCCTGCAGCCCTTGGTGGTGTGGGACTTGCCAACATGCTTCTCAATGTTGTCTGCTTCTCTATCGGAATGGGACTCAATGGAGCAATAGACACATTGGTTTCACAAGCTTATGGAAATCACAAATATTATTTATGAGGATGCTACCTCAACAGAGGACGAATCATTCAGGCAATGTTCTTCATTCCTGAAGTGATAATTTTGTTGTTTACTAAAGAAATTTTGATTCTGCTAGGTAAGCACATAATTAATTTAGTTTGGTCTTTGTTAGACTTATAAATAGAGTGTTTGAATTGTATCGATTTAATGGCAAGATAATAGAAGGATATATTTTGGCCAAAAAGTTTTAAGGGTAGCATTGGCCTCCTAAATTTGATCTAATAAAGAGAATGGGAAGGATCAATCCAAAATAGGTTTAACATGTCGAAGGCATGTTAAATCCGAATGTCACACTATCTAAATTTGCCATATAGGACAAGAAGAAGATGCTGCTAACTATGGTAGGACCTATGTCCTCATCCTGCTTCCAGGAATGTTTGCAATGACTCAGTTCGAAACAGTCAGAAGATACTTGCAAGGCATGGAAATCTTCTCTCTGTCTATGTGGATCCAGTGTGTTACGATGGTTATCCATATTGTCATGTGATATCTCTTGGTGTTCACTTACGAGTTCGGAGTTGCAGGAGCTTCAATAGCCACCTGTATTACATTCTGGTTGAATCTGCTGATCATAACTGGGTACATTACATTCAGAGAAGGAGTGGTACCTGAAGGGTCCTGGTTCTTTTTCAACAATGACAGCATGAAAGGATGGGGAACCTACCTCAAATACGGAATCCCAGCAGCCTGAATGCTCTGACTTGAGTGGTGGTCATTTGAAGTTCTCTCATTGTTCGCAGGGTTTCTTGGAGTCAACGAACTTGCTGCTAATGTGGTCTTGTTCAACACACTTGCAGTATTCTTTGTCATTCCAAATGGAACAGGCTATGCTATCTCAGCATTAGTCGGGAATAGTCTGGGAGAAGGAAACCCAGCTAAAGCAAAGAGATACTACCTCATATCCATTATGTGGGTAGTCTTCTTGACAGCTATCATCATTGTGGTTATGATTGTTTTGAGAGAAGACATTGCATTCATTTATACTCAAGAACTCAATGTTGTCAGGTTAGTGGTGAGCACAGTCCCATACTTTTCTCTCATGTTGTTTTTCGACAACTTACAAGCAGTGACTTCTGGAACTGTCAGAGCCATCGGTTACCAAGACTATGGAAGTTGGCTTGCTCTTGTAGGATTTTGGGTATTCTCAGTTCCTCTAGCTTACATATTCTCGCATGTGGTGGGCTTGAGACTGGTAGGAATTTGGCTTGGAGTCCCTGCTGGAACACTTTTCGTTGCAGTCTCATACAACCTCATCTGTGCCTTTGTGGACTGGAAAAAACTATCAGACTCTATCCAACTCAGAATCCACAAGGAACAATCAGAACTCCAAAAACCCCTATTACCAAAAGAATAAACCCAATCTACTAATTGATAAGTTCCTAGCACAACCTATTAAAATCTCCAAATAAGATCAATATCCCCCTCTCACTCCTATCCCTAACCATCCCTATCCTCCCAACACCCCTTCCCCATCCTTCTCCCAGCCCCTAATTTCCCCTTCTTCTTGCCAACCAACTTTGGCTTAATCTGTACTGAAAATTTTGAATTTTTAGGTTCAAGCAGGAAGAAGTACCCCGGGGTTTTGGGGTTTTGGGGTTTTGGGGTTTTGGGG